CATACACAGGTATCTGGGCTTAGGACATCTTCAATTATCATCTGAGGATACAGGTCAGGGGGATGTGAGATTTTTAGAGAGGTAAGGGGGCCCAGTCCCTGGGGGAGGGAAGGGACCCAGGCTGCAGGGTTCCCACCTTGGTGTTATAATACTGGCCGCCTTTGTACATCTTGTCCACAAACCGCACACGCAGGTCCCTGTGCAACCAGTGCTGACTCCTGGGGGCTGCTTTCTCAATCTTGGCTGCAGGCCCATTCTGTCTGTGGAGAAGGTGGCAGCCGCAAGCTTAGCTCTTCATCAGATGCACTTTCCAGTCGCCCTCCCTTTGCCTATGCTATGAAACCCACCCACAATGCAGTTCCCAGTTCCTTCTATGAGCCTGCCCTGCCTTGAAAGCCTTCCCTGGCTGCTCAAGCCTACCCACAGCCCTGCCCTCTTGCCCCCTCCCACATGCTCAGAGTCCCACCGGTCTGGAAGGTGTTTCCGCTTCCTCTCTGAGTTGTCCTGCTGGATGTGGAGTTCTTGATTGCGGAGGGTCTTCCGTAATGAGGCAGTTCCGTTCTGTTGCCCTGGGGAAGGAAGTTTTCCTTACCTGGCCTGTTCAAGGAGTTAGTAGGAAAACCAGGACAAAGCCTCAGTGTCTCATTGCCCTTTCCTTCCAAGGCCATGTCTCAGCCTAGGGCCACCTCCCACCTGCCAAATTGCCCCTCTCTCCCCTCATGCATTTGCTAGTAGAATGCCTCTCCCTGACCTCTCAACCATTTCGGCGTCCTCCAGGAACCCTCCCACAGCCGCCCTAGCCCACAGCAACAATGCCCACCTAACGTGGACTAGAGATTCCCGGAGAGCTCTGTCTGTACCCATCTGCCAAACTGCCCCATCCTACCGAAACGCCTTCACCGGTGCTACTCTGTCTGCCTAGAATTCCTTTCTTCTCGGTCATACACTAATCCTAGTAGTTCTCACTCCCTAGTAAAAGAGAGGTTCATCACCCCAAATGGACAAAGATCCTGAGAGTAGCAACTGATTTCCGTACCTGTTTCTTCCCACTCAGAGACAGGCTACAGACCCAGGGGTATGATATCCACCTTTCTCCAATCAAATGGAATAAGTCACTTATGTCCATTCTTACCTCCTGACCTCTGACTGGAAGTCACACCTGTCAGGCAGACTGCTGCCCCTCCCTGCTGCAGATCTAAAACCATTCCATAAGCCAGGCCCTGCCATCCCCAGGAATGCTTTGCCAACTCCCCTAGCTCTACAAGAGGCTCACTCACTGAGATCCAAGGCGTTCTTGTCAAATTCCTGCTGGGAGACGGGCCGTAGGCAGTACTCACTAACAGTCACCATCCGGCTCCCCACAGCCAGACGAACCATGGCCCGAACATTGTCAGGATCGAGGCCTTCCACCTAAAGTGTTGAGGGGAAGAAGTTAGGTAGGGGTTGTGGACTCCACCCACATTCCTAGGACCAAGCTGTCCACCTCTCACCTCTAAGAGGCCTGCTTCCTCTGTCTCCCCGACCAGACTCTGACCCCTAAGAAGTGGGACCAGGTCTGGTTCCTGTGTCTCCCTCAGCTGACTGTGGGGCTTCCTTGGATCCTTTAAGCATTTAATCCTCAGGGACTTGTGGCATATGGCATTCTCTTCCTTTTAGCTGGGAACTGAGGCTCACAAAGGCCAGCAAGTTGTCCTGGGTTACTGAGAGCGGCAGTGGGCCAAGCAGGCCTAAAAGACTGGGACTCCCAGCCTTTCTACCTCAAACCCAAGTCTTCCTCCCTTTGACCCTCAGATCAACATTCCCTGCTGCCTGTTTTGGGCTCCTGGGCTATCTTGGTTCCTTACCTTCCCATAGAGGCCTCGGTGAGGGCCAGAAAGAACCATTACAGCTCCTCCAGGCACCAGCCCTTGAGGCTGATCTTCCTTATCCTTTCCTTGCTCATCTGGCCTTGGCATGCGGGAGGGGCCAGTAGTGGTCAAGGCCTGGGCCTCGGTCAGGTTGGCACCCAGCCCTAATCCCTTGGGCCTCAGTGAGTTGACACGGGGCTTCACTACTCTGCAGGGAGAAATATGGGTTTGCTGGAGAGAATGCGACAGTCTTTAACATCTTATTTACTTCCTCTCCCTGCCCAAACTCATCAACATTTTCTTTTTTTTTGAGACAGAGTTTCACTCCTGTCTCCCAGACTGGAATGCAATGGCTGGATCTCGGCTCACTGCAACCTCCACCTCCCAAGATTCAAGTGATTCTACTGCCTCAGCCTCCTGAGTAGCTGGAGTTACAAGTACATGCCACCATGCCCGGCTAATGTTTGTATTTTTAGTAGAGGCAGGGTTTCACCATGTTGGTCAGGCTGATCTCGAACTCCTGACCTCAGGTGATCCACCCTCTTTGGCCTCCCAAAGTGCTGGGATTACAGGCATGAGCCACCATGTCTGGCCCCCATCAACATTTTCAAGGATGCCCTTTCCGATCTCATATTAGGACTGTTTTTGACCCACAGAAACAGCAATTTCATTTGATTCAACCTAATAACATGCTGCATATACCATCTATTACATACTATCTACAGTGAGATCAGAGGCAGATCACTGTAACCAAATATACTATGTCTACAGGGGAAATCATATGAATATTCACACCAAGCAGGAGAAACAGACTATAAATACTCAATATGGTTGGACATGGTGGCTCATGCCTGTAATCCCAGCACTTTGGGAGACCGAGGTAGGCAGATCACCTGAAATCAGGAGTTCAAGACCAGTCTGGCCAACATAGGGAATCCCCATCTCTACTAAAAATACAAAAATTAGCCAGGCACGGTGGCACATGTCTGTAATCCCAGCTATTCAGGAGGCTGAGGTAGGAGAATCACTCGAACTCAGGAGGTCGAGGTTGCAGTGAGCCAAGATTGCACCAACTGCATTCCAGCCTGGGCAACAAAGAGACTCCATGTCAAAAAACAAAACAAAACAAAACAAAAAAAAACAACTCAATGCCAATTCAGATCATGTTTGGCTGCCAATGGCTTATGAAAAAATGTTTCTTTTTCAGAATTCTTCAGAGTTTGCAATTGCAAAGAAGGGGTAGTAAGTCTGCATGACAATAGTAAATGTTTAGTCTATGCTTTCAGGACCTACTACTGTATGTGCTTTATGTATATAATTTCTTTTCTTAAAATTAATTAATCTTTTGTAGAGATGGGGCCTCCCTATGTTGCCCAGGCTGGTCTCAAACTGCCAAGGTTAAGTGATCCTCCTGCCTCAGTCTCCCAACGTGCTGGGATTATAGGCATGAGCCACTACCTGGCCTATATGTATAATTTCATTTAACTCTCATAACAGACCTGTGAAGTCAGTATTATTATCTCCATTTTTCAGATGAGGAAATTGATGTCCCCAGAGGCAAATTTTATATAAACAGGATTCTATTACAGCGTACCAAAGGCCAAATGGGAGTTTAAAACAGAAGTGGAGGCCGGGCGTGGTGGCTCACGTCTGAGGTCAGGAGTTCAAGACCAGCCTGGCCAACATGGTAAAACCCCATCTCTACTAAAAATAAAAAATTAGCCAGGTGTGGTGGCACACGCCTGTAGTCCCAGCTACTCGGGGGGCTGAGGGAGGAGAATCACTTGAACCTAGGAGGCAGAGGTTGCAGTGAGCTGAGATCACGCCACTGCACTTCAGCCTGGGCGACAGTGAGACTCCATCTCAAAAAAGAAAACAAAACAAAACGTTCCTCTCCCTTTGTGGCTAAAAGAAAATAAATAAATAAAATAGGAAACAAACAAAACACTGTAGTGGAAGGAGCTGCTGAATTAGTTAGGGCAATAATGTATCCTCCCTCCCTGCCTGGATGGTTCCAGTTTGGCAGTGATCCTGGGGATCTTGATCACAGCCTGATCTGTCTGTCCCCTCACCCCTATCCCAGAACTCACTGATTGAAGGTGCGACCGATGCCCTCGCCAGGTTTCCAGCCCATGCCCCGCAGCATGGCCAGCCCATAGGCCTCCACGGGGACCACCTCATAATTGGCCTCCTCTGGCACCTACAGATTCAGGCAGAGGAAGGAGGGTCAGTTTTGCTTATACTGGGACCTCTATTTGAAGTGCACTTGCTGCCACCCACTGTGTGACCTGCTATGTGTCTTTTCCAATCAGCTCAAGGGTGACTTTTGATTTCTTCTTTCCATCCCTCACTGTACTCCTCCATGTTCAGTCCTTCAACAAATATAAAGCACCTAATCTATGGCAAGTACTGTTCTAGGTACTGGGGATGAAGCAGTGAACCAAACAGACAAAAACCCCTACCCTTGCAGAGCTTCTGGCCTAGTACTGGAGACATACTATAAATAAAACACAGAGAACATGATATGTCAGGTTGTGATGTAAAGAACAAGAAAGCAGGGTAAGAGGATGCAGAGGGATGGAGAGGAAGTGCCACTGGGTTGACAAAACAGCAGAGGGAGCCATGAGGATATGAGAAGAAAGTGTCCCAAGCTGAAAGCACTGTAATAGCAAAGGCCCTGAGGCCGGACAAGGCTTGGTAGGTTCGAGGAGTATCACGAAAGTCACCATGATGGTGAGAGTAGAAAGCAGAGAAGGGTGGCAAAGAGACTAAATTAGGAGAGCTGGGCAGAAGTCAGAGGACCCTGAGCCAGGTGGGAGCCACAAGAGGGACCAGTGAAGAAATTACTATAATAGTCCAGATGAGAGATGCTGGTGGCTCAGCCCTTTGTGGTGGTATTGGTGGTGGTGAGAAGTGGTCAGTTCTGGGTGTCATTTTGAAAAAAGATGATAGAATTGTGCTGGCAGATTGTATGGGGCATGAAATAAAGAGGGGAATTCAGGATGACTCCAAAGATTTTGTTGTTGTTTTTTTTGTTTTTTGAGATGGAGTCTTGCTCTGTTGCCCAGGCTGGAGTGCGGTTGTGCAATCTCTGCTCACTGCAACCTACGCCTCCTGGGTTCAAGCGATTCTCCTGTCTCAGCCTCCTGAGTAGCTGCAATTACAGGCGTGCATCACCATGCCCGGCTAATATGTGTATTTTTCACAGAGACGGGGTTTCACCATGTTGGCCAGGCTGGTCTCGAACTCCCGACCTCAGGTGATCCGCCTGTCTCAGACTGCCAAAGTGCTGGAATTACAGGTGTGAGCCACCATGCCCAGCTGTCTCCAAGGTTTTTAAGCTGAGTGAGACGAAGGATAGATGGAATTTTGGTCAATCGAGATGTGGAAATCTGCAGGAGGAGGTTTATAGAGGGAAAAATTAGAGGAATGAGGCCAAAGCTGGAACAGGATGAAAGGATGAAGAGTGAAGTGGGATCTTTTTTTTTCTTTAAAGATAAAGGAGCTGGGCACAGTGGCTCACAGCTGTGGTCCCAGCACTTTGGGAGACCAAGGTGGGTGGATCACTTGAGGTCAGGAGTTCAAGACCAGCCTGACCAACATGGCGAAACCTTGTCTCTACTGAAAATACAAAAATTAGTCAGGTATAGTGGCGCACACCTGTAATTGCAGCTACTTGGGAGACAGAGGCAGGAGAATTGCTTGAACCCGGGAGGGGTAGGTTGCAGTGAGCCAAGATTGCACCACTTCACTCCAGCCTGGGTGACAGAAGACTGTGTAAAAAAAAAAAAAAGAAGGAAATCAGGGCACATCTGTAGGCTGAAGAGAACAGTTCAATCAAAAGACAGAGTGGTCTGCAGGTGTAGGAGAACTAGACTCCAAAGAAGCAGTGCAAGAAATTCATGAAAGAAACAGTGAAAAGTCAGGTCTGTGGGTATGAAAGACAGACTTGGTTACTTCTGTAGAAACACCTCTAACCTCTCCTCTTGTCACCTCCCATCATCACTCCTTCACATTCACTCCAGATACACAAGTTGCCACACCGATTTTCTGCTACTATGTCATTGCTTAGGCTGTCGCTACCAACAGGAGTATTCACTCTGTTTGTTCTTCCCTCTCTTACTAAACCCTGCTTATCCTTCCAGACCACTCTGGTCTATGTCCCCAGCATCTCTAGCCTGGACTAAGCCCTTTGCTTCCAACTTCACTAATGATTCTATTCACAGCAGCCAGAGGGATGCTGTCAAATTATAAATCATATTTCATCTCTGCTCAGGGCTTGTCCATGCTCTCACCCCACTCAGAGTAAAAGCCAAAGTCCTCACAATGGCCTACAAGGCCCTGCCTGGTTTAGCACCCTGTCTCCTTTCTGACTTCATCTACTACACCTTTCCCTCACTCATTCCACTTCAGTCACACTGGTCTCTTTGGTGTCAGCAAACACTCTAGGCAGCGTCTACCTTGAGGGCCTTTACATTTCCTGTTCCCTTTGTTGCACATCTCATTCAGATAATCCTAGGATTCAAGTATTTTTTAGCATCCAGGTATCCAGATTCATTTGGTAATGCTTCCAAAAAGGATGGCAAGAGAAGGGGCAGGTGGCAGGCCTCTAGCACACACACAGGCTTTCCCTGCTATGTGCAGGGACACAGCCTGGCAGATAGGGCAAAGAAAGGCTGGGGCAGGAGGGGGACAAGGGGCCAGCTCACTGTCTCAGCCTGGGGTTCGCTGTCTGCCCCTTCCCCACTGGGGGTGCATCCTTTGTGGATCATGGGGATAGCAAGCGTGGGGTCGACACGTGCATTCTCTCTCTCCTCCAGAGACTTCTTGGATTCTAAGGGAAGAATAGGAGGGAGCAATGAGGTACCACCCTATCCTTCCACCTTCTTCCTCTTCTTCCTTCACTGGGGAAGGGTAAAGGGGCATTACTCACCCTCAATGAGCTCCTTCACAGCCTGGGACAGCACCCCATCCACCATGGCCCCAGAATCGGTGGATGGCCCAGGGGACTGGGCTGGTGGCTGCCTGCGATAGCCATTCTGGATCAAAGGGATGATGAGTTCCTTGGGGGCTTCCTGGGGCTTCACACTGATGTGGACACAGAGGGGTGAGGTTGGGAGAGTGGCAGGGTCAGTGGGTTCTGAGTCACACTCCTTCATTCAGAGAAAACACAACAGCCAAACTCACCCCCAGCCCAACAGACCATGCCTTCCCTACTCCATGTCTGGATCTCCTGTACCTCTCTGATCATCAATTCTTTGGATTCTCTCCCCCAGTGTGCCCAACTCATAAATGTCAGTGCCTTCGACAAATAATTCCTGGACTCTCTGTTAAACCCAAGACCGGCTTCCACAATGACTCGAAAATCACTATCTTCAGCTCAGACTCTCCCCAGCTCCACGTTCCCAAACAGCTTCCTAGATGCCTGATTCTCTTCTGAAAATCCCTCCCTCAGACCCTCCTCTCCTCATTAGGCTGATGGCGGCCTCCATTAACCTGAATATGCTTCTCCATCCCGTACCCCACATCGGAGAAGCCCCACCACTTCAGTTTAGACTCTAGAGGTCCTGTCATTCTCCCATTCTTTCCTTCTCCCAGAACGCACACACCTCAGTGTCTTCGACTCCTAAAGACACTTCTCAGGAACACATGCTGTCTTCACAATTCCCACGGCTATCAGGTCCAATTTCCCCATCCCTCCTATAAACTCCCGCCTTCTGGCCTCCACGAATTTACTCAGGCTGTGCTTCAGGCTTAACAGGCCACTGTCACCGAGACAAACAACTGAGATTCCTCCCTCCCGCCTGCGCCCACCGCAGCGATTTCCAAGGTGTGAAAGACCCGGCGCGTCACCTCTGCAGCTCCCTTCCTTCCACGGATTTCAAGAAATCCTTTTCCTCCGGGGATGGCCCTGCGCCGTCTCCCGAGTCGGCCAGCCGCCTTCGGGCAGACGTGCGAGTGAAGCCGAATGAAATTGGTGCAGTGGAAGCAGCAGTCAGTGGCAAAACAACCTCTTCGGAATCCGCCATCTTGCCCTTTTTCCCAGGCCGGCGCGCTGCTTGCTGGGAAATTTAGTTTGGGTTCAGGTCGCTAGAGGCCGGCCTACGCGCGTAAGAACTACCTTCCCATCAATCACTGTGGCACCGGCGGTAGGGGGCGGGACGGGGCCGTGGGAAGTAATTGTCGCTCGTTCTTGTGGGAGCGCATCGCGCCAAGCTTACAGGGAAATGTAGTTTTTAGCGAGGTAGGCATGGTGGAAGGTCATTCTTAACAGGAATTAATTCCTTCGTGTAGGCTTTTGACAGGTATTTATGGAAAGCCTACTGTGTGCCCTACTCGTGTGGGAAGAGTGGATGAAGTAAATCATTTAGAAATAATCAGTCGGATGTGGTGGAGCCCACCTGTAGTTCCATTGACTCCGCAGGCTGAGGCAGTAGGATCGCCTGAGGCCCAGGAGTTCGAGGCTGCACTTAGCTCTTATCACACCCCTGCATTCCAGCCTGGGTGACAGAGTAAGACCCCGTCTCTAAAAAAGAAAAAAAACAAAACAAAACGGTGAATGTCGATGTGTATAATAATGAATAATAGACATGAAAAAGTGCCTACTGGATGGACATGGTGGCTCACGCCTGTAATCTCAACACTATGGGAGGCTGAGGTGGGTGGATCACCTGAGGTCAGGAGTTCGAGACCAGCCTGACCTATATAGTGAAACCCCGTCTCTACTAAATATGCAAAAATTAGCAGGGGGTGGTGACGGGTGCCTGTAGTCCCAGCTACTTGGGAGGCCGAGACAGGAGAATTGCTTGAATCTGGGAGGTGGAGGTTGCAATGAGCTGAGATCACGCCACTGCACTCCAGCCTGGGAGACAGAGCAAGACTTGGTCTTTTTTATTTTATTTTATTTTATTTTTTTCAAAGATGGGGTTTCACCATATTGGTCAGGCTGGTCTCGAACTCCTGACCTCAGGTGATCCGCCCACCTCAGCCTCCCAAAGTGCTGGGATTACAGGCGTGAGCCACCGCGCCCAGCAAGACTTGGTCTTAAAAAAACAAAAACAGCCGGGCGCGGTGGCTCACGCCTGTAA